AGGGAGAATGTGATGGGCTGATGTCCACCTTTATAGCTGTAGGTAGAGAATTTTTGTTTGTTTGTTTGCTTTCTTATTTGAACACTTGTTTATTCTTTATGACTGTTTCAGAAACAGTTAAAACATGAAACAACTATGCTATTCAAGTAATATTCCATTTGTTGTTTTTATTGTGGCTGTTTTCATTGAACAATAAACTTCAAGATATTGTTTTCTAAGTCAGGATGTAAATATTACAGTCAACCCATGCTCCCTTCCAGCTCAGCTTCCGTGCCTCGGCTTCTGCGCTGTGGGCATCCTAGCTCTCCCCATAGGTCCTCTGTGTCACATCCACTAGATCCGGAAGAGTTTCCTCTGTAATATTTTCCCAAGCCTTTTCCTGAGACTATAGTAACTCCACTTTTATTAAACTATCTTTTCCCAGACTATCAGTGCACGCCCTCACTATTCCGCCATCTTGGCTCCGCCCTGTAGGTAGAGAATTACCTAGATCAATTAGTATGAGAGAGAGTATAAGGTAGTATCTGGAAAAAGCTCATGCTTAGTCTACTTTCCAGACCTAATCTTTTCAGTATATGGCTAAATTAGACTGCTTGACTTGGTTAAAGATGAGAACCTAAAGGAAACAGGAATACAGAAGAATCGTGGTTGGGGTATTTTCTCCTATTGACTCCACACACAATTCTCCACTTTGCCTTCCTCATGGTGGTGTCATCTCTCTACACAAAAGGAAAGTATACACCAGTTTCCCTTTCTGAGTTATAGAGATCTCTGTATTTTCCTTCAAGAAATTTCACTTCATGACTAGGGACAGCAGCAAGTTCCTAGCTGCAATATCCCTTCTTGAATTTCCTAATTCTTAATTTTGTGTTTCCAGTGATTCCTACATCAAGTTCTTTAAATTCTCTGGTTTAAGCTTGGCATTTATTTGCTGACAGAACCTCAATTGCTACAAATGGGAAATGCCTATCTTATAGGAGTATACCTACAGACATCTCTCTGTCACATTCTACTTTCTGTCTAACTGTTTATCAATACAACCATCTACAAGTTTATCAAGATTGAATTTCTTTAAAGACTTATTTATTTATTTGAAAGTCAGAGTTACACACATAGAGAAGGAGAGGCAGAGAGAGAGACAAAGAAGTCTTCCAGCCGCTGGTTCACTCCCCAATTGGCAGCAATGGCCAGAGCTTTGCTGATCCAAAGCCAGGAGACAGGAGCTTCCTCCAGGTCTCCCATGCGGGTACAAGGGCCCAAGGACTTGGGCCATCTTCTACTGCTTTCCCAGGCCATAGCAGAGTGCTGGTTCAGAAATGGAGCAGCCAGGATTAAAACTGGCACCTGGGCCAGTGCCGTGGCTCACTTGGTTAATCCTCTGCCTGCAGTACTGGCATCCCATATGGGCGCCGGTTCTAGTCCTGGTTGCTTCTCTTCCCATCCAGCTCTCTGCTGTGGCCCAGGAGGGCAGTGGAGGATGGCCCAAGTGCTTGGGTCCCTGCACCCGCATGGGAGACCAGGAAGAAGCACCTGGCTCTTGGCTTAGGATCGGTGCAGCGCCGGCTGTGGTGGCCATTTTGGGAGTGAACCAATGGAAGGAAGACCTTTCTCTCTGTCTCTCTCCCTCACTGTCTATGACTCTACCTGTCAAATAAATAAATAAATAAAAAGAACTGGCACCCATATGAGATGCTGGCCCTGCAGGTGGCGGCTTTACCCCCTATGCCATAGCACTGGCCCCAAGATTGAAAATTTGAGCTACATTTTTCTTTGTTTTTTTCTTTTTTGTTTCGTTTTGCTTTTAAGGGTGTTTGGGCAACTGGAAAACCAAATTATTATTCTCATCTTCCCTGGCTATTGTCATTGATATCATTAATCACACTTTATTGTTTATTTATTTGTTAGATATTTATTTACTTATTTATTTGAAAGGAAGAGTCACAGAGAGCAAGAAGGAGACAGAAAGAGAAAGAGAGATCCTCCACCCTTGGTTCACTCCCCAAATGGCCACAATGGCTGGACTGGGACAGACTCAAACCAGGAGCCAGAAGGTTTTTTGGGATCTCCCACATGGTTAGCAGAGTTCCAAACACTTGGGTCATCCTCTGCTGCTTTCCCAGGCACATTAGCAGGGCTCTGGATCAGAAGTGAAGCAGCAGGACTCAAACCAGTCCCCACATGGGACACAGGCATGACAAGCCACAGCAGGGGCTCCCCATTATTTTCTTACAAAAAGCCTAAAGTCTTGCTTTTTTATAATTTTTACTCTTTTTTTAACTCCCAAAGCCAGGTAGATGACTTCAAAACAAAACAACAAAAAAAGGGCAATTGCACAACTCTAAGAAAGTTTCAGATACTCATAAATCTTCACCTATTTAGTTCTTCTACACACAACAATGAGAAAAAGCCAGGACTAGAGAAAGAATGAGTGATGACAGAGATTAAGCCAGCCTAAAGAGCAAGGAGATAAGAGGCCTCTCTGAAAAATGAAGGGAAAATAAATTCCTTCAGTGGCATTGCGCACAGAATGGAGTGGATGGGAATCAGCTAGCTTTTGCCCTAGAAAGTGGTCACCGTTTATGAAAAATACAATTATCAAATCAGAAATGAAGAAAGAACACCTTTGTCACATGTAACCCTACACTATATGAAAGAAGAGAAGGAGAGTTCATCAACCAGAAACTAGGTTCCTTTAAATCTTATGATAGCAAGCTTTCTTTTTCTATTTGTGAAATTCTAACCCTAATTCCAAAATGTATCTTTTGTCCTAGAGGGAAAGATGGGCTTATTAGGGTAGATAGTACACTTGATACTCATAAAGAAAACAGGGAAGTAGAGCTGATAGTCATAAATAACACATGGCTAAAAGTTTTTGAGTATTTTTAAATTTTTCATTTTTTTTAAATTTTCAATTAGAGAAAGTTTTTCAACATGCTACTTCATTCACCAAAATGCCCACAAAAGTTGTAGCTGAGTCAGATAAAAACAGGAGCCCAGATCCCAAGACCCCAGTTTGTCTCTCATATGGGTATCAGGAACACAAGTACTTGAGTCATCACCTGCACTCACCTGGTGCACATTATCAAGAAGCTCTCTCAGAAGTGGAGACAAGGGGCCAGAGCTGTGGCACAGCAGGTTAACGCCCTGGCCTGGAGTGCCAGCATCCCAGATGGGTGCCAGTTCGTAGACCCAGCTGCTCCACTCTTTTTTTTTTTTTTTTGACAGAGTGGACAGTGTGAGAGAGAGAGAGAGAGAGAGAGACAGAGAAAAAGGTCTTCCTTTACCATTGGTTCACCCTCCAATGGCCGCTGCAGCCAGCGCACCGCACTGATCCAAAGCCAGGAGCCAGGTGCTTCTCCTGGTCTCCCAGGCGGGTGCAGGGCCCAAGCACTTGGGCCATCCTCCACTGCACTCCCAGGCCACAGCAGAGCCAGTTGCTCCACTTTTGTTCCAGCTCTCAGCTATGACCTGAGAAAGCAGTAGAGGATGGCCCAAGTCCTTAGGCCTCTGCACCTGCGTGGGAGACCCAGAGGAAGCTACTGTCTCCTGGCTTCGGATCAGCATAGCTCTGGCCGTTGCTGCCAATTGGGGAGTGAACCATCGGATGGAAGACCTCTCTCTATCTCTCTGTCTCTCTTTTCTCTGCGTAACTCTGACTTTCAAATAACAGTAATAAATAAATCTTTAAAAAAAAAAAAGTAGAGATTGATAGATATAAAATACACCCATGGAAGTGAAAGCAAACAAAGTAGAAGTAGATATGTTTGTATTATAAAATGAGGAAAGAAGAGTATATTATTATGTATGAGGTGCATTTATTCAAAATCATCTTGAGACATCTAACTCAAAATATTATGGAAATATTGGTTGGTATATAATGACTATATATTGCACATCTGTGACAGTAGAATGAAGTTTTGCATAATGAGAACAGTATAAACTTTATAATCATAAAATCTTGTTAGAATTCTTATGCTTCCATCACTATTTCTGTAATGCTATTGTATTACCTCTAAACATCTAGGATTTTATTTCCCAATTAGTAACATTGGGTAAATGATATTGACCTTACATTGCTTTTCCAACTAAAATATAACATATTCAAAGACTCTAGGGTGATGTATTTTTTCATGTTAGGAACAACAAATTATTACTTTTCTTCCTTGCTTCATATAAAAAGTGGTGGGAACTGAGATGACACTAATAGCATATAAAATGAAGTACCAGGTATATTTATCTCTGTTGTGACTAATATGTTTAGATGAAAATAATAAAAGTCATGAAGTATCGGGTACAATAAGGAACCTATAGCAGAGCTGAAGTAGAGAATTAAGATTTTTGAAAATTAGGTTTAAAGTAATTTGATTGGAAAATTCCAAATATTTCTCTTGAAACAGAAGTTGGTATAAACATGTCCGTCATCCTCATATTTTTGGAAGACACAATCAGTCTGTAAGCTCCAGATGCAAAAGCCAACCCAGCCTAAATTCTCCTAGAAATAGATTCTGTGTGAGTACAAGGAAAAACAATCATTTTATGATCTGTTGAAAAAATGAGTACGTATCTGGAAGTGCTCAGATGTCAGCTGGAAAACTATTTCAAGATACTATTAAGAAGGGAAGTCTGATGTATACATCAAAAGCTAATTTTGCCTCTTCAAAATAAAAATAAACAGTGAATTCAAAAAGTGGTATTGAATATTTATTGTACCTAGATGGTTAACAAAGTTTTTTTTTTTTTCAAAATCAATGTGCAAGAGTTATGATTTGATTTACAAAGTTAACATTTTGTGTCTGGTTGTGTACTTTTTGCCTAGTGCCCTAAGATTTTTTTTTTTCAATCTAAAGGACAATGTTGACAGGTTTTTGTTTTTTTTTAAATGTGATGTGTTGGGTTCTTCTAGGTTCATTTATTTGTGTCCAGATTTGGTTGTGATGACCTTGGAAGAAATATTTTTCTCCAAAAAGAAGATTCCACAAAAGACAGAGGACAGTGGCACCATGGGACCAGACAATACATCTCAAATATTTCCAAACTCCTTCTTGCTGATGGGCATCCCAGGACTAGCACACCTGCATGTCTGGATTGGGATTCCCTTCTGCTCCGTGTATGTGGTGGCAGTGGTTGGGAATGTGACCATGCTGGCTGTGGTGAGGGCAGAGCGAAGTCTCCATGAGCCTATGTTCCTCTTTCTGTGCATGCTGTCCATCACTGACCTGGTCCTCTCCACATCTACATTGCCTCACATGCTCTGTCTCTTCTGGCTCAGAGCCCATGACATTATTTTTGATGCTTTCCTGGCCCAAATGTTCTTCATTCACAGCTTTACTGCCATGGAGTCAGGCTTCTTCCTGGCCATGGCCATTGATCGTTATGTGGCCATCTGTGATCCTCTACACCATGCATCAATCCTCACCCATGGTCGCATTGCCAAAATGGGAGCTGCTGTGATCCTCCGGGGAGTGGGCTTCTTTTCTCCACATCCCATCCTGCTCAAGCACCTCCCCTACTTCAGGACTCAAATCATTGCCCACACCCGCTGTGAATTTATGACAGTGGTGAAGCTGGCATGTGTGGACACAGAGCCACCAAGTGCTACAGCCTCAGCATAGCCTCTGTCATTGGTTCTTGTGATGGATTTTTCATTGCTGTCTCTTATGTTCTGATCCTCCATACTGTCTTCCGTCTTCCACCTCGGAAAGCTAGTCGTAAAGCTCCAGGCACATGTGGGTCCCATGTCTGTGTTATCGTTGTTTTCTATTCCACAGCTGTCTTTACCTTCCTGACCCATCGTTTTGGCCACAATGTGGCCCCCCAAATACATATCTTCATTGCCAATATGTACCCTCTGGTACCACCTTTTCTAAACCCCCTTGTCTACGGTGTTGGGACAAGGAAAATTCAAGACAAAGTCCTTAGTTTTCTAAGGATGAAAGTTGCCTGATGGTGTTAAAATTTTTTGCTGGGATGATATCAGAATGTGAAGTGAAGAGGGCAGATAATTAATTCCTTTCCAATAGTTGACATTCAATTTTCTCTGATAGAACTGATATTTTATCAGATTTTAATGAGAAACAATGACCATATATGATAGAAGTCCTGCACTTTTAATTAAATTAATAAGTGTAATATATTTTTTGTGCACCTGAGCCTCATGCTGTTTACTCAGAACTTGATAAATGCAATGGGACTCTTTTGCTGTTCCCTGCTGTTCCAACTCATTATGTAACTGCGGGTAATAGTTTACTTTCAATTAACATATGATCCAAAAAAGGAAGAAACCTATAAAGCCTCAAAAATTTCCATTAAGAATCTACAAAAAATAAATAAATGATTACTGTTAATATTCTATAGAAAAAGAAATATAACTGGTTTAGTATTCTTTGAATACATCAAGTAATCTTGCTTATATTTACAATGATTGACACACAGGACATGTTTTCAAACATTAAGTATGGAATGCTTCAACATTTCAGTATCAAGTCAACACCATATTGCTGATAGAATATTCTCTCTATTATAAGTAACATGGTTGTTTCTCCCTCTCTCTGTAACTCTGACTTTCAAATAAGAGAGGGAGGAGATGTACAATTTGGGACATGCTCAATCGGACTTGCCCCAAATGGTGAAGTTAGAAATGTGCCAGGGGATTCCAATACAATCCCATCAAGATTGTGTGTACCAATGCCATCTCACTAGTCCAAGTAATCAATTTCAATTCACAATTGATCACACTGATAGGTCTAAGAGTCAAAGGGATCATACAAACAAGACTAGTGTCTGCAAATACTAACTGATAGAATAAAAAAAGGGAGAGAACGATCCAACATGGGAAGTGGGATACACAGCAGACTCATAGAATGGCAAATGTCCTAAACAGAACTCTAGCCTCAGAATCAGCCCTTAAGGCAGTCGGATCTGGCTGAAGAGCCCATGAGAGTATTTTAGGCTTGGAAAGCCAAGACACTCTGGTTAAAAAAAAATGACCTAAATGAAAGATCTCTGTGAGTGAGATCCCAGTAGAAAGAATGGGCCATCAAAGAATCAAAGAAGGAGGTACCTTTCTCTGAAGGGAGGAGAGATCTTCCACTTTGATTATGACCTTGTCTAAATAAGATCAGAGTCAGCGAACTCAAGAGGCTTCCATAGCCTTGGAAACTCATGACTAAAGCCTAGGGAGATTTCTGACACCATAAATAAATAAATAAATTTCTAAGAAAAAAAAAAAAAAAGAGTGACATGGCTTGTTATTGGTTTGTTACCTAAACAAACACATGGCCTCTTTAAACCTTAGTCACAGGGTCTCCAGAGGGTAAAAATAACTTCATGCTTCACATTGCAGACTTCAGAATTTGCAGAGTACTCATTCAGGCCCAGTGAGCTTGATTCATAGGAGATGTCTTTAGGTAATACATATATCACTTTTTATTAAAGGAGAAAGTATATGATCATAAATAACTCAGTTTATATCAGATCAGGGTAATTATGCCACTGGAATTGTTCAAAAAGAAATTCTTGAAAAGAAAAGAAATATTTTAGGGTTCAGCATTGTGGCATGGCAAGTTAAGCTGCCACCTGAGAGGCAGGCATCCTATATGGGTACTGGTTCAAGTCCCAGTTGCTCTACTTCTCATCCACGTCACTGCTAATGTGCTTGAGAAAGCAGTGGAAGACACCCAAGTACTTGGGCCCCTGCCAGCCATGTGAGAGAACCAGATGAAGTTCCAGGTTCTTGGCTTTGGCCTGGTCCAGGCCCAGTAATCATGGTCATTTGTGGAGTGAACTGGTAAATGGAAGATTGATCTCTCTCTTTCTCTCTCTCTCTCTCTCTCTCTCTCAATCTGCCTTTCAAATAAATAAATAAATCTGTAAAAATATATTTTTACTAGAAACATTAAAATGTTTCCTTCTTAAAAAATGTATTTCCTGGGGTCAGTGCTATGGCACAGCAAGTACAGCCACTGCTTGCGATGCTGGCATGCCATATGGGTGTCAGTTAGAGTCCCAGCTGCTCCACTTCCAATCCACCTCTCTGCTATGTCCTGAGAAAGCAGTAGAAGATGACCCAGGTCCTCGGGCTCCTGCACCCAGGTGGGGGACCCAGAAGAAACTCCTGGTTCCTGGCTTTGTATCAGCTCAACTCTGGCTGTTGTGGCCATTTGGGGAGTGAACCAGCATGTCAAGACCTCTCTCTCTCTCTCTCTCTCTCTCTCTCTATCTGCCTCTGCCTTTCAAACAAAATAAATTAATCTTAAAAAAATGTGGCTCCTTCCTTAACTCCCTGTTTACCACAAGATGTGAATTACTACAGAGACAGTAAATATGTGCTGCATTCCAGTGATGGCCTCTTTCTGGTGGTTTATGATTTGTACAGTATCACTTCTATCTCCTTTCTTTGTACCCTACTTTCTTTTTTAAAAAAAGCATATTCCTGGATTTTAAAAAATTTATTTATGGCATACAAGTTTTATGTATTTCATATACAGATTCAGGAACATAGTGATACTTCCCATCCTAACCTCCACCCTACCCACCCAGCCATCCTTTTTCCTCCTCTATCTCCTAATCTCATTCTTAATTTTTTAAAGAACTATTTTCAGTTTACTTTATATTAAGACTAACCCTATGATAAGGAAAAAAGTTCAACAAATCGTAAGAAGAACAAAATGCTGTTCCTCCACCATAGAGACAAGGGCTGTAAATAATCATAGGATCTCAAAATGTCAATTTCATTCCTATACATTAACTTTTAGGTACTCTGTTAGTTACCACAGCTCAGGGAAAACATACAGTATCTGTCTTTTGGGGACTGTGTTATTTCACTGAGTATAATGGTTTCCAGCTGCATCGATTTTGTTGCAAAAGACAGGATTTCATTTTCTAACCACTGAGTAATATTCCATAGTGTATATATATACCATAATGTCTTTTTTAAAAGATTTTATTTATTTTATTTGAGAGGTAGAGTTACAGACAGTGAGAGGGAAAGACAGAGAGAAAAGTCTCCCTTCCTTTGGTTCACTCCCCAAATGGCCGCAGCGGCTAGAGCTGCACCGATCTGAAGCCAGGAGCCAGAAGCTTCTTTCTGATCTCCCACACAGATGCAGGGGTCCAAGGATTTGGGCCATCCTCTACTGCTCTCCCAGGCCATAGCAGAGAGCTGGATTGGAAGTGGAGCAACCGGGACTAGAACTGGCACGCATATGGGATGCCAGCACTGCAGGCAGAGGTAATTAACCTACTGCGCCATGGTGACAGCCCCACCATAATATTTTTATTCCATAGTGTATATATATATACATACACACACACACACACATATATATACACACACACCATAATATCCCAATTGATGGACATCTGGGTAGATTCCAAATGGCCACAAAGGCCAGGGCTTTGGCAGGCTGAAGCCAGGAACCAGGAGCTTCTTATGGTTATCTCACATGAGTGCAGAGGGCCAAATATTTGGAACATCCTCTTCTGCTTTCCTAGGCACGTTAGCAGGGAGTTAGATCAGAAATAGAGCAGCTGAGAGTCAAACCAACACCCATTTGGGATGCCAGGTCACAAGTGACAGCTTTACTTGTAACACCTGCCCCAGCATCTTATATGATTGTTGGCTTGTGCCTTGGCTGTTCCACTTACAATTCAGCTCCCTCCTAATGACCTGGAAAAAGCAGTGGAAGATGTCCCAAGTATATACAAGGAAAGGAGAAAAGCAAAGGAATAAACAAGAATGGAAAGTGCAAAAGGAAAAGTTGAAGGACTAAAGAAAGGGGCTGATAATAGGAATTTATAAGATACATGATACTTCTCAACCAAGTTTGTCTCATGCTCTGACTGCTTGTGTTTTTGGAACATAAATTCTTTGTGGGAAAGCAACAGCTAAGTTTTTATTTTAAACAAATAAGTATGTTTTTAAAATTGTATTTATTTTTAGTTATTTTATTTATTTTAAAGACAGAGAAACAGGCAGGGAGGGTAAAGGGGGGAGAGAGAGAGAGAGAGAGAGAGATTGATTCTATTAACTGGTTCACTCCACAGATGCCTTCTCCAGCTAGGCCTGGGCAAGGCTGAATCCACGAGCCTCAAACTCAATTCTGATCTCCCAGGTGGGTTGCAGAAACTCAAGTACTTAAATCTTCACCTACTGCCTATCAGGGTACACATTAACAGGATGAATGATTGTAAGTAGAACAAAAACACAAGCCCAGGTACTCCAATATGGGGTGGCAGGTGTCCCAAGCAATAGATTAACCACTGTGCCAAACACCCAGCAAGAAATGTGTTGTTTACATCTGATATATTATTTGTTATATTATTGCTGAGAGTCAAACTTAATTATACAAATCTGAGTAACTCGCCTGCGTATTTCCTTGGTCTTCACACCATACACAATAGGGTTTAGGGCAGGGGGAACAAGTAGATAAATGGTAGACAAAAGAATGTGCACATAGGGGCACACATGACCAAAACGGTGACTGAAGAAGGAAAAGAAAGCAAGGATATAAAATTCCAGGAAGACAACAATATGAGCTGTACAAGTATTGAATGCTTTGAGTCTTGCTTCCTTCTGGGGAAGACGGAAAACAGCTTGAAAAATCAGAATGTAGGAGATGAAGACAAAGATCATGTCAAAACCTAAAATTGCAAAAGCCACAAAGAGCCCATAGGACTTATTAATATGTACATCTTCTGCAGCCAGCTTGACTACAGCCATGTGTTCACAATAAGAGTGGACAATAACCACAGAGTGGAAATGTTTCAGTCTTTTGAGTAGAATGGGTAAAATCCCAACAAGCACCATTGCTCGGATTGCTACCATCAGTACCACCCAGACTAGAAAGAAAGGTGTGAGGATAGAGGTATGCCTTAAAGGATCACAGATGGCAACATAGCGGTCATAGGCCATGGCTAACAGAATTCCAGACTCCATGCCCTGCAAAGCATGGATGAAGAAAAGCTGGGTGAGGCAAACATCAAAAGCCATGGAGAAAGAGTCAAACCAGAAGATGGCTAGCATCTTAGGAGCAATGGCTACACAGAGCCCTAGGTCAGTGGCTGCCAGCACTGCCAGGAAGATGTACATGGGCTGGTGTAGATTTCTCTCTGTCGGGATAATGATAAGCAAGTAGATGTTCCCCAGGAGTGCCACAACGCAAATGCCAAAAAAGGGAAACCCAATCCAAAATTGCACATGTTCTAGTCCAGGAATCCCAACCAGGACCACTGTACTTGGGTTCAGATATGACACGTTGGTAGATCCCAGAAGGCTGCTGTATCCTTTACTCACCATTGTGTGTGATAGCTCTTCAGAGAAAAATGATGGATTTAAAGGAAGAAGGGCACTATTATTCTACTTCTCATAAAACACAAGAAAAGGCAAGGGGGATGGAAATATGACCAAGTGGCATTAATTGTCTGGACATTAATAGAGATCGGTATAAGAATAGAACTTTTGGATATTCCACATTTGCAGGCACATACTATGATCCAGTGTTCATCACCTAGAAATCGTGGAAATAGAAGGAAACTGATCTAACAGCATTGTTTCTTCTTGTCTTCAATGTATTCTCAGATGGTGTCACAGAGGGCCATCTTAACTTTTCTGTCCATATCCATCTCCAAATTCCAGATATATTTCAGATTAGGTGACTTACTCTGTAACACTTAAAGCTGTAGTATGGATCCTCAGCATTATAGCTCTGTCAAATTAGCCCAAAGCTCAGTAACTTCAGATAGCAACAGCCTCTCTCAGTCTTCCCGTTTTCTGTGGTTTAGGCAGTAAACTACTTCCTTCACATCTTAATGATTGACTTTCGTAGCAGAGAATGAGGAGATTTGAACTTTTAACAAATATCAGTTGAATTAGCTATGTGCAGGCCAATTATCCAGGTTTGTGGAGATGATATGTAGGAGGTATTCTTTCATCAGTAGTGGTTGAGAAGTTTTGACTTAAAAAAATTAATTCTTGCCCATGACTCTTCAAAGTGGATGGATTAGCAGGATTGGGTATAAAGCAATGTAAGCACTCACAAATCTTAGAGGGGACAGAAAGTTGAGAGAAAATATAACAGGTATATAAATTAGGGTCCAAAAATTAGGATGGGATTCAGGCCACAAAAACCTAATCTGTTGGATAACCTCTATAGCTTAAATGACAACACTCTGGTATTTATAATGGAGTTCAACGTAAGCTTGTATTACACACCTCTTTTCACTTCTTGTCACAGATAACAGGGAAAATAATTTCTGACACCTTTGAATACATTGTCCCACTTCACAACTACCTCAAATTTCTGAATTTTTTAAATACATTTCCTAGTTTTTCCCTGGCATACTATGGAGGTTTAAAGCAACTTTATATGTTTTATCATTTTTTATTTTCCATTAATCATGCAACAGTCTTAAAATCATATTAAAGTGTTTTGCATCTTCAATCTGATTGTGCCAAAGCCAAATACATTGACTAAATGGGGAGTATCACTCTGAATAGAGTTTTATGTATTTTTCTTTGAAAGGAGGAACCTGACGGGTTACTTCTATAAAACCAGAAGAGTAATTGAAATGGTTTATATGGAATAGGAAAATATATGTGTGGTCTATATAGAAAGTCCACAAAGTATTAAAATATGTAATGCTTTAGTAATTGCTGGACAGTAGATTTTCTTACATGAATTTCTATAGCCACACACATCTGTAGGCTCAGGCCAAAATAATAAACAAATAAAGATTAAAACAACTAGAAAGTTTGTAAACCTAAATTCCTTTTGATGACAATATGGAATGAAGTGAAGCCAAGGAAATGATGGATGTCCTAAAATGACTGCTGATAAATTTAAAAGATTCTTGTGAAGGTGGCACAAGCTTTTAAGCACAGAGCCTAAAGAAACTGCAAAACACTGTCTGTACTTCTAGATAATGAAGTGCTTTCAAGTTTTCAGATGATCTAATCATAAAATTAAAATTGTTAGCCCCAGCCCTTCCATTATAAGTAATAAGGTATTAATTATATTGACTTCATTCCATATAGTGTGGTCTGTAAAATCGTGGGATAAGAATTAAGAAATATAAAATATCAGCCAGCGCCGCGGCTCAATAGGCTAATCCTCCACCTGCGGCACTGGCACACCAGGTTCTAGTCCTGGTCAGGGGCCAGATTCTGTCCTGGTTGCCCCTCTTCCAGTCCAGCTCTCTGCTATGGCCCGGGAGTGTAGTGGAGGATGGCCCAGGTCCTTGGGCCCTGCACCCGCCTGGGAGACCGGGAGAAGCACCTGGCTCCTGGCTTTGGATCAGCGCGATGTGCTGGCCACAGCACGCTGGCCGCGGCGGCCATTGGAGGGCGAACCAATGGCAAAAAGGAAGACCTTTCTCTCTCTCTCTCTCACTGTCCACTCTGCCCGTCCAAAAAATTAAAAAAGAAATATAAAATATCATATAATGCAGGCTCTCCTATTTGCCTCATTATGAGCAATGTGATAATATCACTTAGCTCAGTGAATTATTGAGAAATATAAATAAGATTATATATGAAATTCTTGGCACAAGGTATGGAAAAGAGTAAGCACTCAAAGTTGGATAGCTAATGCATGTCTGAGCCTGTGGAGAACTGTGAAGACAGACACACATACTGCCTTCTTGAGGAAATGTAAAACATAATGCAGAATGAGGAAACTGATCAAACACTTCATCAGTACACAGATCTTCTGGAGCTCATGAGATCTGGAAGCCTAGATATTTCTGTAGTTAGAACAAATGGTCATTCTTAACAATAGCAAAATTATGTCTCCATGCTGTGCAGACCTTAACAGAGTCAGTAAGTTCTGTTAATTTGAGTAATTCGGCAACTTCTGAGAAATAATCCTCATTTATGTAGATGGACAGGGAAAGCTTGAACAGGAACACTATTTTTTTAAAAGAGGTTATATTAACAATTTATTTAAAATTGCTAGGGCAGGCATTTTGTGCAACTTAGTTTTCTATGATAATCAGAACAGAAAATGTTCATTCCTGATCTCTGAATGGAAGAGAGGAATAGAATAGGAGGGTTTCTTAAATAGTGATATTGAAAAGTATAAGAAACAAGAAACAAAAAAACAAATTATTAATGTGCTTGATACAGGGCAGATTGGATTTAGAGGGCTGAGGTATGAGCTATAGTTACTGTGGTAGTAAGACCAGAGTTCTGAACCCATAATAGGGTGATCCTATTTTTTACCTTTTTGCCTAATCGTTCACATCATTCAGTTCATCTGGCTCAAACTAACTCTCCCCCCGCCCCAAACTACAGACTAGCTCTTCTTTTAAAATTTTAATAAACCAAAAAATACTAGATTTCCTTTTAGTAATTACTGCAAAGTGTTTGTTAAGAATTTTCCCCATAAAATTGAAAAATAGTACTTAATTACCTCTCTTCTATATCTAAACGGCATGATTCTAATAAATTGCTGATATTACCAAACAAAAACAAAATGAAACATTTGGGAATGGAGAAAAAAGATAGCCATGAATAAAGAAAGATTATTACTGAGAGAATCAGGATTAAGGTATCTGACCTGCTATTCCTTTCACTTCTTCCTATAATATGTATAATTAATTGTAAGCCCTGATCATATTCATGTTTCCAAACACGGAGAAGAAACTCACCCATCTATACAGGTAGCCAGCTGACATGCAAGGGCAATGGATGGAATGGCTCTTGGATGCCCGATTTTGGATTTGGAATGGTATTAATAGCCAAGTTTCTCTCATCATCAGCCATTAGCAGTTTCTTTTCCTAGCCATTCTTGGGATCTAAACTAATCCCAGAGCAATGCTGTAGACCTGGTCCCTGGAGAAGTCAATATACTTCTGAGACTCATTCACGCTTTGTAGGAGGAAGATGCTCATTGCTTGAAGGCACATATCCAGAAAGCCTGCAGTTGTTATTCCTGAGAAAATATTTCCAAGGACAGAGAACCAGGAAATGGCAAATCAAATCATGATAAATCTGAAATCATTTAGAGAATGGAAAAGAAAATCTGATTAATAGAGAATTTGCAAATCAGAAAGACAAAAATGGTCATTTGGTCACACTACATTGTACCCCTTACCAACCATATTTATCAAATGTTGTAGCGGTTCTTTGTGCTACTATGCTATCAGAGTAACTTACAGGCTATCTCAATATGATGTGTTTCATAGAATCTTGGAGAATATTTCGAATATTATATTGTTAACAAAGTTATCATAATATACTTATTTGCCAGCAGGTGCCTTTAAATATATCCAATGTTGGATTAGTTGCCTTTTATTCTTTACTACAGGATGCAGGACTTAGTGTATTGGTTCTTAAAATACATTATACAATGTGAAATTCATTACATTTAGTGGTTTAATTAGACATGAACTAATCCCCTAACTCCAACTATCAAGTGATCACTCTTTTTAAAATGTATTTATATATATGAAAGGAGAGAGGAAGAAAGAGAAAGCAATCTCCCATCCTCTAGTTCACTCTCCAAGTGTTTGCAATGTTGTGATTGAGCTAGGCTGAAGCAAAGACCTGTCCAACGACATTCTTCTCAGATTAGAAAAAAACAATGCTGAAATTCATATGAACATGCAAGAGACCCCAAATACCTAAGGAATCTAATAAAAAAAAATCTGGAGATATCTCAATACCAGATTTCAAGACATAATAGAGGGCAGTTTCAATCAAAAGAGTCTGGTACTGGCACAAAAACAGATGGAAAGACCAGTGAGACAAAATAGAAACTCCAGAAGTCCACTCATTTACAACCAACTTATCTTTGACAAAGGAGCTGAAATCAATCCCTGGAGAAAGGGCAGCCTCTTCAACAAATTGTGCTAGGAAAACTGGATCTCCACATGCGGAACTATGAAGCAAGACCTCTATCTTACACCTTACACAAAAATAATCACTCAAAATGGATAAAAGACATAAAACTATGACCCAATACCATCAAATTACCAGAGAACATCCAGAAACCCCTGCAAGACATTGACATAGCTAAAGACTTCTTCGAAAAGACCCCAGAAACACTCAGCAAAGTGAAGAGGTAACTGACAGAAAGGCAGAAAATATTTGCAAACTATGCAACTGATAAAGCATTAATATCCAGAATATATGAAGACATCAAGAAACTCAACAACAACAAAACAAACAATCCAGTTAAGAAATGCACATAAAACTTGAACAAACATTTCTCAAGGGGAAATCCAAATAGCCAACAGACACATGAAAAAATATTCAAGATCACTAGCCATCAGGAAAATGTAACACAAAACCACAAT